TAAATGATAAATTCAATTCAGAAATAAAAAGTAAAAGTTTTTGTATCGTTTTCCTTCGAAAATTGATGGTACTATGGTGCGTATGAGTAATGTGAAGGACACCTGATTAATTAATTTTTTTTAATTACTTCTAAAATTAATATCACAGTGGAAATATTTATTTTTTAAGTAGAATTTATATATTAATTTGAATCAAAAATAAAAAAAAATAATTTGTGTGACATATTCCTTTTTTTTTTTACTGAAAAATCGTGTGTATGTGTTTGGTGTGATATGAAAGATAAATAAATTTTAAAAAGTACTTCTAATTACAATATCGTCCTGAAATTTTTGGGTTTTATGTAGAATTTTACTACTAATCGAAATCAAAAATATTATATAAGAATATATGTAGTATATTCTTTGAAAATACATTCAATGAAAATGTAGTACGCATGTGCTTGATGTGTTTTGCGGGAGAAAAAAAAATATTAAAAAATGTCAAAAAATAATGGTTAATTGAAAATTTTTATTTCGTAGTAAAATTTAAAACTGAATCTAAATAAAATATAAAATGAAAATTTAAAAACTACTTTTGAGAAATTTTTTTTTTGAAATTTAACGGTTAATATTAGTACTTAAATATTAACAAATTTCAAGTTTCTACCTTTTATAGAACTTGAGATATAGCCATTTGAAAATGTGTCTACTATGCCAATTTTCAAAACCCCATGGGTCCATATCTCCTAGGAAAAAAATCACAAAAAATTTTCCCGAGATACGGGTCTTCTTATTTTATGAAAGGAACTCATAAAAAATTTCAGCCATATCGGAGATCATGAGGTCAAAAAGGTGTCCGAGTTGTAAAAGAATGACCCATAAGCAGAAATTTTATCTTAACATACAGAAGCTGCGATTTTTCTTCTGAACACTCTCCAGTTATATTTTGTTTACAGACTTAGAACAAACTGGGTCAAATATAAAAAGTACATCAATTCACACATACACACAAACTACAAGATAAAGTGTAAATCTCATATTGAGGACGCAACCTCGGTTTTAAACTCAATTCTGATTTCAGCAGCAGAAAATTCCACCCCTAAAGACAATAAAATTTACAGATCCAATAAAGTACTTACAAATATTGACATAGAGAATTTAGTTTTATAAAAACGTAGATTAAGGCATGAATGGCAAAAATTTAGGTCTCCTTCAGCGAAAAACTTATTTAGGGAAGCCCAAAGGAGACACAGTACTGCATTAGGCAAGGAAACCAAAATCAGGCAATATAATTATATTCAAAACCTATGGCCAAATGGCAGAAACCATTCATCCTTGTGGAATGCTAGCAAAGGTATAAATTCCCCCATAGATTTCGATTCTCCAATAAGAAACTCTCTCGGAAACTGGGCGCGAAGTTATGAAGAAAAATCTAACATTTTTGCTGATTATCTAAAAGAGGTGTTCCAACCAAATCCTGCAACAGGACATTATGACTTTCCCACTCAGGATCTACATGTACCATCTGTTGACATGAATATCACGGCCAATGATCTTGTTCAAATAATCACAAACAAGTTAGATTGCAAAAAGGCACCGGGATGTGATTATATCTCAACCATCATGATAAAAATCTTATCCCTTTTGGCTATAAATTTTATCACATGACTTTTTAATGACATTATTAAATTTGGCTTTTACTCAACAGAGTGGAAAACATTCATGATTATTATGATTCATAAATCAGGTAAATATCACACGCTTGCCTCTTCATACAGGCCATTAAGGTTACTGCCATGCCTTTCTAAACTCTTTTAAAGAGCCCTGCTTTTAACATAAAGATATTCCTTGACGGTTAAAACCTAATACCCTCTCACCAGTTTGGTTTAAGGGAAAGACATGGAACTATTGAGCAAGTTAATCGTATAACGAACGAAATAAGATGTGCATTTGAGCTTAGAGAATATTGTTCCGCGGTCATTCTCGATGTTAAATAAGCCTTTAATAAAGTATGGTATAATGGGCTCCTATATAAGATACGCTGTTTATTACCTTCAAATGTCTACGCAGTTTTAGAATCGTATCTGCATAATAGAAGTTTTAAAGTTAAATGTAAATCATATACTTCTAATAATTTCCCAATAGAAGCTGGCGTTCTACAAGGAAGTGTCCCAATAAGTAACTCAGTCGTCACCACAACGTTTGCTCATGATACGGCAATTTTATGTCGAAACAAAACCGCTATGCTAGCTTCAAACCAACTTCATTCTCACTTATTTCGGGTGGAGAAATGGTTGTCAAAATGGCGAATTAAAATTAATGAACTAAAATATTTTATTTTATTTTATTTTATTTTGTTTTGTTTTATTTTATTTTATTTTATTTTATTTTATTTTATTTTGTTTTATTTTATTTTATTTTATTTAATTTAATTTTATACAATGCATAGTTAAATTAAAAGTTGTAATATTATGTACAACTT